AGTGCTATGGTGAGAGCTGAAGCCATCGGCACCAGTCAGGGCAGCACGAAGTGGGACGGAGGAAGAGCCTTCACACAGCCACCATGCTTGGTGCAAGAACGGTCCTGCTGCTCACCCTGCTCTTCACCTTCTCCCTGCACCACGCTGCAGGTAAGGCACCTCCTGGGTCACCTCTGCAGGTCGGGGCTTGGGGACGTCACCGTTGGGGAGGTCAGGCGAGAATCCCTGGTGTGGAGCAAGGATGGTGGTGGTGGCAGGAGGAGCAGAGTGGCACATCCCGTGGAGCAGGGAAGAGTCGAGAAGGTGCTGGGTGGCCTCAGCAAAGCCCTGGGGAGATGCTGCAGGAGCTTGGAGGAGACCCTGGAAGCTGTTCCCCAGGTCTCTGCTGGATAATCAAGTGGTTGGAGGCGATGGGGGAGCATGCGCAGCCGCTTAGAGCCTCCCAAGAAAACCCTTGTCCCCAGACCAAGCACTCCGAGCTTACTTTGGCAGCCACGGGAATGTGGAAATCCCTGTCATAGCAGGACGGGAGCTGCTGAAAACCTCTGCAGCCTCCACCCTGCAGTCCACGGCCTGCGCTGTCATCGTCTGGGCAACGCAATCGGTTGCAAAACGCGGCCGAGGATGTTCACGGCATCTCCCCCTTCCCTGCACAGCCTACTCCACACCCACCGAATGCTGCTTTGAGTACGCGCTGAAACCCGTCCGGCACATGTGGAGCTTCTACAAGACGCCCAGTGACTGCGCCTTGCCTGCAGTCGTGTGAGTAGCCCTGGAGTTTGTGTCGTTCTTCTCCCCAGCTCCCATCCCCTCCTGCCCCACGGACAGCCCAGTCCTGGCTGGGAGGGCTGTGGTAGGAAAGTAGCTCTGTGGGGCAGGAAAAAAATTCAGATTTTGGTGCTTTCTGCTAAGTCAAAGCTGGGAAGACCCAGATGTGCCCCATCGAGGAGGGCACGGGTGGCTGGAGGTGGCTCCAAGCTGCTGCCCAGGATGGGGCTCGTGGTTCATGTTTTTACCTTCTTTCCTCACTTTGTCACTGCAGGATTGTGACTGCCACTGGTGCCAAGATCTGCGCCGACCCCAAGAGGCCCTGGGTGAAGAGAGCCATCAGAAAGCTGCGAGGGGAAAAATGAAATCCTTCTTCTGACTGCTCGTCATCCAACTCACTCATCCAGTCCTCCCGGCTCTGGAGGGAGCAGGCTGCGCTCGCGGCGCTTCTCCGAAGGGTCCCGTGGTGGTGGGTGGCGCCACTGCCGGGGG